AACGGGATATGATGTATTTCCATAATAAAATATGTTCGTAATTTTTTGACCATACGTGATAGAAAACTTTTTATATGTTTTTTTTCATCAGTGTGATCGATTCCTTTCCAAAATCTCTAGTGCAAATAATGACAATTACAAGTGCCCTGTCTTTCCACCGGACGACCTCCCGTCGCCACCCCTAGACTTGCACTTGAAAGTCTGAGAAACGAGATTCTTCGAGAAGTCTTTTTTCGGGAGGATACGACCTTGTAAAATAAGGCACATTCAAAGCTGCCTTTTTGTTGCGTTCAGTTCAAAACAACGCCAACAAAAAAATTAGCAACCTGAGGGTTTTTAATGTGAAAACTGGTTTTATTTTTAAAAAACGTTAGTAAAGCGAATAAATCCGCCTTGAATGACACAAAATTATAATCTCGATAAGTTCTGTTTTTTATTAGCGTCGCTCGAAACGGAATAGAAATTTCCGACTTGACTTTATATTGTAATTTTGTTTCGGGGACTGCCCATTCTGTTCCGTTACCTACCAGGCCCGGATGAAAAATAAAAATTGTGTTGCATGTGAAGGTCTTAATTCAATTATCGGAAACGTAAGTTTACCTTGGGTGTCATGTTTACTGTCTATTATATAACTAGGGATATTATTGTACAATTTATCGAATTAAAAATAATCTATTCTGTGGACGTAATGAAACTTATCCGGAGGAATGTGTCATTCAAGGGCGAGTTATTTCGGCTACTAAATGTTGTTGAATAATAATCTAGTCATCACATTAAAACCTACTTACAGTTGACTAATTTTGTCCCTTTTATAATAGACAGATAAAACATGACCCCAAGTGACTACCCCGTTTCCGATATGATTAACGAGGACCCTTCAGATCAACACAATTTTCATTTTCATCGCCTGTTTTAATTCGAAAGGACTGGCACTCTCGAAAACAATTTTACAATTTTTATTTCTCCCAACAAAAGCTTCCGAGAACGAAGTGCAATCTCTTAATCCCTCCTCGTGGCCGACCACACTCCCCTCAAACGAGAAACCTCGTCTGGCGGCAGGACCTCTCGCGGGGGTCCGTGGTTGCTCTCCTTCAAAAGTGGACGCCCCGCGCCGCGCGCTTGAGAGCGTGGGCATGAGAGGCGGAGGAGAGGAGGGAGAGGGAAGGGGAAGGGATGGGGTGAATAAAGGACATAGGATCTGACGAAAGCCCATCTGACTGGCAGCGGGGGAGCAGGTCACGCAGAGGAGAGAGAGGGCAGGCTAGAGTTGGGATTAAGGGTGCGTTGAGAGAGCAATTGAGGGAGCGTTTGAGGGAGCGATTGACTAGGGCGCGATTCAGATGTGAAAGAAGAGCGGTGTTAGGAGCGATCAGGAACGAGAATTGAGGACGGGGGAGGGAGGGGGGGGGGAGGGGGGGAGGATGAGGACAGGGATGTTAGGGGGGATTAGGACGGGATGAGGGTGACGACGAGAAGGAGGGGGTAAGTGAGGATGAGGGTGAATGATGCGGAGGTTAGGCGAGGATGAGGATGAAGGGGCGGAGAATATGCGCGGATGAGGTGGAGTTGAGAATAAGGAATAGGGCGGGCTTGACGACGGGAAAATGATGTTTGGGAGGGGATGACATGCATCGCAGGAAATGAGGGCTGTGAGGAGTGCGGCGGCGGGCGGCTTGTGGGGTGGGGTTGTAAATGGCGGAAAACGGCGAGGGGTGCGGGAGGGACGTCCGGCCTAGCAGTTGCGCGGCCGGAGCCTCGAGGGTGGAGGCG